AGAGACGAAGATTGCAACAAAGTGGTAAAAGGCACAAAAATAAAGAAAAGTAAAGGCAATGAAAAAGCAAAAAAAGCAAAATGGCAAATAGAATGTTTAATATGAAAAAGAACAAAAAGGGATTCAAGAAAAGCAAAGAATGAAAGGTGTGGAAAGTTAAAAAAGGAGAAAAGGTTTGAAATGTATAAGAAAGAGTGACAGTGTGTCTCTCTAACCCCTCGAAAATAAGTGAAACGACTCAAAGAGTCAAGTGAATGTGTGCCAAATGAATCAAAAGAAGTGTTTAAGGGAAGATGGAACCTACTTAGACCAAAACATTTCCTACCCTGAACCAAAAGCCTTCACAATATCTCCACAAAAGCCTTATATGATCTTGAGTTGAATGAAGCTTACATTAGTGGATACTCACATAAGGGGCAAGCATATGGTACTTAGAGACGGACTTGTGACTTTTTCTTGAGAGAGATGAGAGAATTTCAATTATCCTCGTTCTGAGTGCCACTATCTTAAAGGTGAGGATTGCTTAGGGAGAGTTGAGGATGTGTGAGTTTGGGTTCCACAATGACCGAAGTAATAGAAAAGAGTTCTTTGATGTGTTCAGTCAATTCTTGATGCTCTTGTGTCGCACTTAATCCATGGTGTTTAAATGAGTAAAAGTTGTTAATGATTCATTTTTATTGAGGGCAATTGTTAGTCCCAATTGATGCTAGATGAGGTTACTTTAGAACAACTGGAAATTTCTTGGATTTTTCCTTAAGGGGTGGGTCTTATTTTGTTTGTTTGAGGACAAGCAAAAGCTTAAGTTTGGGGGAGTTTATAACTAGGGATTTTAATACATTTTATACTCCTTCTTGCTTAAGTTTTGATTAGAAAGTTGTACAAAATAGTCCCAAAAGGCTCACAAGTTGTGCTTGATTGCAGTTTTGATCAACAAAGGGACACGATGTCAAAGATCAGCTCAAAAGGAGTGAAACTTGCACAAGTGCCAAAGACAAGACAAGCTCAGGCAAAGCAGGCCCAGTGCGGCCGCACACCATTCTGTGCGGTCCGCACTAGGAGATTCAGAAAGGTTGATTTCCAGGCAAAGATGCAATGCAGACGCACTAGGTTTTGTGCGGTCCACACTGAAGGCAATGAGGCCGCACTCGATTTAGTGTGGTCCGTAGAACCCAAGATTAGAAAGGTGCCAGATTTGAGGATTGAAGCCTATGCGGTCTGTGATCCATTTTATGCAGACCGCACTAGAAGCCTATGCGGTCGTAATCCATTATGTGCGGTCCGCATTGCCCAAGTTCAGAGAGCTGTATTTTCAAGTTTAGAGCCCTAGTGCGGTCGCACACCATTTTGTGCGGTCCACACTAACTCCGCAGGGGCATTTTTGTCCAGAATTTTTAACTTAGTATAAATAGTTTCTTTTCCCATTTTTAGGGTATTAGATATTGTAAGCACTAAGCTGCGCTCGTGGGTTCGACTTTCTTAGCCATATTGGGCAATTTTATCTACTTTTCATCATTGAATCTTGTTATTTACCTTAGTGATTAATTAATATGAGTTGTTCTTCATCTATTTCTTGCTTTTCTTCTTTAATTATAAGTAGCTAGACCCATAAGCTAGGGTTGTGGCTCAACCCTAGTGTAGATAATTGATGGGTCTTGTATTTTAGGGCTAGATTGACTATGGGTGTTTGATATTTGGACCAATTTCATGGTTAATTACTGAATTAGTGGTTACAAACACTAGTTTGTGTTTAGTTTACTTGAGCTCTTCTTGAGAAAGAGATCTTAAGTATCTGAAATTGGTCCAACAAGGAATTGGGGCGTACTCAAGATATTAATAGCCCCAATTAAAGGGTTAAACCTCGAGAGAGTAAAACCCGACTTGAACCCTAGTTGCTTGTGCAAATTTTCATACCCAATTGGTCTTGAGAAAGTCAATTCGGGCAAAATCACTCGAACCACCGAGAGGTGTAGAGTGGATAAAGTCGTGCAACGGTTATATCATACTCCCCAATTATGTCAATCATGCCTTAGACTCAAGTACCCGTCAATTGACCACCTAGGCGAAAGTCATTACCCTAGTGCCTTTTAAACCATTTGAACAACCCGTAGCATTAACTCTTAGCTTAATCTAGTTGCATTTACCATTTGTAGTTGATAATAGTAGAAGTAAAACGAAAACCCCAAAAATGATTAGAAGTGTAATTTGGAACACATACGCAATCCTAAACTAGATAGATACTCGATTCCAAATTCTAGCTATCTGTGGAAATCGATCCCGACCCTAAAACGGGTAAACGCTGCTCCGACCCTCTCTCGTTACTTAATTAGTAGTGCAGAGTAGGCCGTGATCAATGTGCTTTCTCGCTAACCACCCAATCAAGCCACTACCTTGAGTTCCAAGCAGTTTTGGCAAGAACTTTCGAAGTCCATTCATCTCCAATCTCTCAAACGAAAATTTTAATACTAGAGCCTGATGTAGGCCTTCTTCAACAGTGAACTTTCCAAGTTCCTCCATAGTAAACACAACAGTAGGTTCTCTATGAACTATTTCAATAGGTTTAAGAATTGTTTTTGATGGATTTTGAGCATGTTTGTTTGTGAGCACTCTGGTAGCGTATGTAGTGGGTAGGTTAGAGTTTAAATTCGTCTCTCCTACAGTGGCATGTATCAAAGTAGAGAGAGAAAGCAAATAATGTAACTGAATAGCGAATTAGTGGCTTAGGGGCAGGAGGTAGCCAAATTAGATATTTTACTATAAACATTAAAAGGTATCTATAGAATATAATTTTTTAAATGATATTTATTTAAAATAAATAAGGTGTTAGCTTTTGCAATAGGAGGTAAAAATTCATTTATTTTTTCTTTTGTTAAATCAGATGCGGGCCTCAAAGTAATTGGTTTGTGTTACTAGAGAAATTGAGAAGAGAGTTGGGCTGATTAATTTTCAGTAGTCTGTAGCTAAAAAACCCCATATCATATAAAAATAATTGAGTATTTTAGGTGGCCCATTTATTTAAGAAATCATGTAAAAACATGATTAGAAAATCATGTTTCTTTCACTAAGATCCAACAAAGTGAACTTCTTTAGTAATAATATTTCTGATAACTTATTTATTTTAGTTGAATGCTAGGCAAGTAGTAGGCGCGCTTTATTTTTTTTATTTTTTATTTATTCACGGACTCGTTTGCATTACATGACATTTAGCATTCAACAAATTAATTAAATAATCTCATACCATATTCTTTAGTTTTCGTTAATATTTAATTTAATTAATCCTTTGCTAAAATCGCAGATTCGCTTGCGTAGCGCGATAGTTGACATTTGATGAATTTCAAAATTAATTTTCTCACATGTAGTAATTTTCCCCAAAAGTAATAACTTGTCATGACTGCAGATTCACTTGTGTAGCGCTATTATGACAAAAAATTAATAAATCTCATCTGGATCACGCATTCACTTGCGTAGTGTGGTTACGACATCTTATTATTCAAAATATCTTTTAATAATTCTAATTATCAAGCAATAATAGCGGACATAGGAAAAAAATATGAAAACCATATAAAACACAGTTTGTCCAAAATTAATTCAAGCCAAATATAAGTCAATAAAAGTGACTATGCTAGAACCACGGGACTCGAAAAATGCCTTATACTTTCTCTCCGGTCAACAGAATTTCTTATCTGGACTTTATTTTCGCAGACCAATAGTAATAATAGAGTCAAATATTCTTTTGACTAGGGATTCAAATAAAAGGTGACTTGGAATACTTAAAAATCAATTTCAAGTAGCGACTTTGTAAATAAAATAATTCATACTCAACTTTGTCACTTTAATTGAAAAAACTCTTTAATCCGCACGATCCGTAACATATGTATCTTTTTTGGGTAAAAAAGGAGTGTGACAACTCTGACGACTCTGCTAGGGACAACCAGAATTCGAGCTTGTATATATTGATTTTTATTTGACTTTATTAATTTTATATATAATGTGATTTATTTGTACCTAATGTGCTACTTGTCCACTTGAATTTTCAAACATATTCGAAGCATGCTAAGTGAAAAATACCCAAGTGAAAAAGGAAAACAAAAATAAAAAAAGAAAAAAAAGCAAAAGAAAAAAAAAGTAACGCAGAAAAACAGGTCAAAACAACAGGAAAACCGGCACTCCGACAAGCCACCCAAACTCCAGCTCTATATTTGTTCTCTTTCTTCTTCTTTTTTTTTTCTTTTTTTTTCCTCTTTCACTTTCACATTTCACTTAAGTTTTTTCTTTTTCTTTTTTGGGTATATATATTAAAAAAGCTACATTAGTCTTTTAATATCTTTCATAAGTTTGTTATCTTTTTTTCGTCACAACAAATATAAAAAGAGCAGTCTGATACACAAATTATCTCTCATTCATGCAGTATTCGGGGAAGGGTTGCATTTCTAAAAGGTGTAATGTAGACAACCTATTATAATACAAGTATTAGTGATTACTTCTACGATTCGAATGCGTAACTACAAACATTAGTAGTTATTTTCACGACTCGAATGTCTGACCTATAATACAAGCATTAATGATTACTTTCACGGTTCCGACGAGGACCTACACACCACAAGAAGTGTTACACCTTACAACAAAATATCTACCTTTCACTCTCTCTACTAAAATAAAACTCTCACACTACAGAATCCACTATCAAACAAAGATTTTCAAGGAGAAGGACCCTACCATTTTAACACACTATTTGTTTAATCATTATCACTCTCTTAATCATTATTATTGTTATTATTGTTATTTTATTATGTATTTTTATGGTACTAATATATCGGCTCCTTTTGCTTTTTTGAGTCGAGGGTCTCCTAAAAATAGTCTCTCTATCCTTCGGGGTAGGGGTAAGGTCTGCGTACATATTACCTTCTCTAGACCCCACTTATGAGATTATACTGGGTGGTTATTGTTGTTGTCTATTTTTTTTTCTTTCATAAAAGCAATAAAAACCAACAAAAAATTACACTTCTCAGTACCCAAAGCTTCAAAAAGCAGCTACTAAATGCTACTACTAATATTCGAATAAAAGTAAAAGCCCCACTTTTATTTTTATTAATTAAATAATAAAAGTAGAATGAAGTGAAACATAAAAAAGCAGTGGAAAATTAAAGTGAAGAATCAGTTCTTGAATTTGGCTCAGTAGTAATGGGGGTTTCTATTCCTATACTTGTAATAGTGATTGCCTTTCACCTTATCGCCTTTGTTCTTGCCGTCGGTGCTGAACGACGTCGTAGCACGGTACCCTCTATATAGCTTATATTCTGTTTTCATTGATCTTTCTTTTTTTGCTTTTGTTTCTGGATATAGGTAAAGATTGAACTTTGTGTTTGTGTGTGTGTTGTGAATATGTTTTTTTTTTTCTGGGTATAGTTAAAGCCTTAAAGGTTGAACTGTTTTGTTTTATTTGCTACATAGTCTAGCTATATATTTTTTTTTTGGTGTTTTTTTTTCCTGGGTATATTTAAAGATTTGATTTTTTTTTTCATTTCTGGTTGTAGTTACAGATTGAACTTTTTGGTTTTATTTGCTTCATATCTAGTTAAAGATTAATTTTTTGGTGCTTTTTTTCCTGGTTGTAGTTAAAGATTTGATTATTTTTTTCCATTTCTGGTTGTATTTAAAGATTGAACTTTTTTGGTTTTATTTGCTTTATAGTCTAGCTATTGATTAATTTTTTGGTTTTTTTTCCTGGGTATAGTTAAAGATTTGGTTTTTCTTTTCATTTCTGGTTGTAGTTAAAGATTGAACTTGTTAGTTTTATTTGCTTCATGGTCTAGTTAAAGATTAGATTTTTGGTGTTTTTGTTTTCTGGGTATAGTTAAAGATTTAATTTTTTTTTTTCATTTCTGGCTGTAGTTAAAGATTGAAAATTTTGGGTTTTTTTAGTGAATTTTTTGGTGTTGTTGTTTCTGGGTATAGTTAAAGATTTGATTTTTTCCCCATTTCTGGTTGTAGTAATAATTTTCTTTTTTAGTATTTGAGTGTATTTAAAGAATGGATTTTGAATGTTGTTTTTGTGTTTCTGAAGGCGAAAGTGCAACCGGATGAGTATGATGAAAGGACGTACTGTGTGTATGGAACAGATGCTTCCACGGTGTATGGATTGGCGGCGTTTGGGTTGCTTCTGATTAGCCAAACGTTGGTTAATTGCATTACTAAGTGTTTATGTTTTGGAAGAGGAATGATGGGTGGTAGTTCTACTACCTGTGCCATTTTCTTCTTTGTCTTCTCCTGGTAAGAATATCATTACTGTTTCCCCCCCAGCTGAATAGCCTGAACTACATTCTTTTGCCACTATTTTCATGTTCTGGTTGTAGTTCATTCACCACCTAGAGTTATGAAATATTTATGTGTAATAGGTACTGAAGTTGTTTTTGTTAATTGGGCTTGATTGTTGCTGTTTGGGTTGGTGGAGCCGTATTTGTTTCAAGTGTTGATGTTTGCTTAGTTACTTTGCATATATCTGTGTGTTCATCTGCTCATTGAATAGCGTCTATGTGTCTATACGGCCTAACCTGTTTGCTTAGGTTAGCTAGGTGTTGTATTATGTTATGTTACTCAAGTATTTTAATTTTGTTTTCTCCAGAAACTCATTATTTTTTTGTTGCTTCTAGCCTTGAGCTTTTCCAGTGTGGTCAAGTTAAGTGCTAATTAGACGCTGGAATAGCAATGTTTATCAGGCAGCAGTATATGCCATTTCTTCTCCTTTTGGATCAGATTGAAGAGATAGGAAGTTAAGATTGACTACTTCTGCAATTATAAACTAATTAAGGGATCATACCTTGTTGAAACTTAATCTTGCCGTAGAGTAACAGTAGTCGTGTGTTGAATGTTCCAGAATTTGGTTACTGACCTTACTCTTCCCGTCTGTTTGCACCATTTCAGGGTGAAGTAATTTACATTGTTTTTGTTCGAGCCGAAACGGTGCCATTAGATAATTTGACCTTTATAGCATGACACTAAATTGTGATTGTACTTGTGCACTAGGTAAAGAAACACTCACCAATATAACTTTTGCACTGGGGAAATTGATTCATTAAATTGTTTTTGAGTAGCTATGATACCTGTAACAGGCGCAAACCCTCAATGAATCTTTGAGATGTTTGCCCCATCTTACATGCAGGATTTTAAGTGGTTTAATAGATAAAGATAATGAAACTATTTTGGAGTTCCTCTGAGGTGAATCTTGACATTTTGCATACGGCAGTTGATCCTGTTTTCTCATGATCTATGAGCCTTATTACCCTCTGCAGGGTAGAAGGAAGCGTGAGACAATGCTGTATGTGTACACAAGTTAATTAGGAAGAAACACGAATAGTATTTCCATGTATATTGTCACAGAATTTGAAAGAGGAAAGTTCAACGATCTAGATGTGCTTCAAATTCCAGAGATTTCTGATGTTAAAGCATTGGCAAACGATTGTGTTTATCTGGTCCCCATATTTGGATTCCTTTAGCTATAGGGATAATTCTTGCCTCAACTGCGTGTTGTGCTTTTATCATAGTGAAAAAGCACATGCACATTTGTGTGAGGCTCATACTCTTTATATTTTAGCTTATACATCCCGAGCCTAAGTGCGTTGCATAGTTAACCTTCCAGGCAGTTAGTTGTTATAGTTGTTAAGTGTCTGGGGAGGGTAGTGTACAGCAGTCCTAACCCAGCTCCTCCAGAATTAAAAATGGTAAAGAAGCTGAAGACTACAAAAGGGATAAGAAGGATGTTAAATATTTAATTGTACACGATGTTTGCACCAAACCAAATAACTTAATCTTAGTAGTTACACATTGAACTGGGAATACATATCACTTAACAATGGTTGAGTCATGAGTGACAAATGAGTGTATAAAAGACACTTGTCTTGCATTCATTTGTTTGGTGTAAACTCTGTGTGCAACTAAGATTTTACCAGGACAATTAGCATAGAACCACATGGTTTCGATGGCGATGATTGAATGTGGTGATGACAGGTGATGTCTAGTTTAATTAGTTTGCTAGTGCGTGAGGCTGTTCTGATTTGGTTTTAATATTTATGGTGGATAAAAGCTTCAACAAACACTCATATGAAAAAGAATATAATACTCCATTGAAGTGATACGGAGATTGTTGAAGGTGCCGAACTAAAATTAGTAATCCCTTACTTGAAATGATGCAGATGTAAGTTAAGATGCAAATAATATGCAAAGGCCTGTTAAAAGTCAGCATGACGAAATAAGAGTGTAGTTCAACCTCGTTCCCCAGAAAATGAAAAGGGGGAAGTGGGAGGGCGGAGGGGGAATTGGAGCAAAATTCAGGGAGATACTTTGATTACTTTTGATGTCTCCTCTATCAAATTCTTATTACCTTTCCGCACATAGTCTCTGACCACTGTTTCACCACGGTTGCATTTTTCTGTCACTTGATTTAACGCAGCAATTGATCTTTTTCTCCTGCTTCTTAACCTCCATCAAAATTCTACTAGAAGAGTCACTGGAACTTGAGGGCACTAGAATTACATAAAGCTATAGCTGACTTCCTCTTTTGAATGACAAACAGGGTTAGCTTTTTAGGAGCAGAAGCATGCTTATTGGCAGGATCAGCAAAGAATGCATATCATACAAAATATCGCGGGTTTTTCCAAGCTGACCACCTGTCATGTGCCACCCTCCGAAAAGGTGTATTTGCAGCTGGCGCTGCCCTGACGTTATTATCAATGATCGGATCCATTTTCTACTACTGGATACACTCAAAGGCTGATACCGGTGGATGGCAAAAGCACCAAAATGAAGGACTTGGAATGGCAACTTCTAATTATACTGAATCAACTGAAAGAAAGGGCTGAATCCTTGTTTCTTCCAAATGTCCGTTACATTTACAAATCGAACAAGGTATTTCATTGAGGAACTTAAACATGAAGAGTTCTTGCTTTCGTTTTGTTCCACCCTTACATACATAATATATCATATATATGTAGTACTTAGGAATTTTAGTGTATGCATATTAGCAGCGTATCCGCGTCCTGTCTGTAACGGCTTTTATTAGATGTCAAATGTATCCATATGAACAATGTAAGCCTTCTTTTCTGGGAAGGTAACAGTGTATGAACTCTGTTTTTCTTGGTAGTGCACTGGAAGAGAGTACAATTTTACAGTCTGAACTAATCTTCTGCAGTTTATTTTGTAATAATATTTTAATTGAACAAACTAAATATCTATAACTTTCTGTAGGATAATCCAGACCACATACCGTTCGAAGCGTGGAAACTAGATTTCAAGGGCTACAACTTTTGTTAATATATCATGCTCCAGTTCAGTATATGTTGAGTGTAATGCAGTAGTAGAAGTTCTCTACCAAGTCTAAAACCTATTCCCAACTAGTAGGTATCGCCTATATGGATTTTTCTCTTCCATTATATCTAATTTTTAGCTAAGTCTGTATTGATTCCAAGGATTTGTAGGTCTTTCGAGATAACTTCCTTCCACGTGATTTTAGGTCTACCCCATCTCCTTTTCACACTTTCCCGACCATAGTTTCATACCTACGGATCAGTGCATCTGTAGGTCGACTCGGGACATGATCGAACCATCTCAAGTGAAAGAATGTGTGCTACTTGCACCTTCTAGGGAATGTACTCATTTTCAACCTTATCTAATCCTGCGTGATCACACCTCGATCTTAGCATTCGTATTTATGCCACACTCATCTTGTGAATATGCTGAATTTTGTAGCCCAACTTTCACTACTATATAATATTAACACAAAGTAAGAAAAAAAAAATAGAAAACTTGAAACATAGAAATTATACAAAAATACAAATTCATAATAGGTATCCATAGCAATTGGAAACTAATGTACTATTTGCATCTATGCCCATCCACATAGTTTATTAACCTTATTCATGATTGGATCAAGAAGACATTTACAATAAATCCAATACTCATTGCAATCATGATTAGAAGTATAAATTCTCAACAAGTATTAAGTTGTGGGATTAATCTCCTATTAAGTCATGAGAGGTGATAATTAACATTTCGTGTAGCCATAATTTTTTTGTGTGAGAACCATGACACAGTTTCTTTTTTTTATTCTTTTTTTATTTACCATCATAATAGGTTGGAAAAGTTGAAGGGGAGCCTTGGCGTAACTGGTAAAGTTGATGTCACGTGACCAGGAGGTCATGAGTTCAAGCCGTGGAAACACAGCCTCTTGCAGAAATGCAGGGTAAGACTGCGTACGATAGACCTTCGTGGTCTGGCCCTTCCTCGGACCTCGCACATTGCGGGAGCTTAGTGCACCGGGCTGCCCTTTTTTCTATTTTTTTTTTTATTTTTATATAGGTTGGAAAAATAAAATAAAATTACCATCAGAATAAACTTACGACTGGTATAACATGAAAAAGAATTAAGTTGAACCAAGTTGGAATATATTTTTAAATACCATCAATGTTGGAGTGAATGCTAGATCAATAGCATTTGCTAAGGCTCATCGAGAGATGGATGATGTTAAAGTGCTTACTTTTGGTACAATTATAGTTCCTCGGGACGCCAACATTGAGGGTGTTATCACTAATGACAAAACCTAGCATATGATTATCAGGCTTTTACGGTATGGAGAAACCTATCAATTTTTCATTGATTGTTGCTACGGTGAAGGGGTGGGGGGTGGGGGTAATTTGGCTTTAGGACAAAGACAAACAAATCCTCTCAAGTTAACTGGTATTACGATCTTTGCTTAGTGTTGTTATTCACAGGTGACCATACCTCTTTTTAGCTCATAATATCATTATCTCCTTCATGAAGTAACGAGTGTTGTTCTTATATATTTTTTCCCTTCCCGTTTACACCTTTAAGTTTGTTGTTATCATTTTGTTTGTGTATTTGGTTTGGGCTACGTGTAGGTACTAGGTAGTAGTGGTGCGGGGGTGGNCATGGTCGTGATGACGCCTATCGTGTTACAATGCAAGTCTATTCCTAAAATATTACTACTTATTTGATTATAAGAATTTAATAAAACTTTTCCAATAATTTAATTCTTAATAAACTAAACCAACTCTAAATATAATTAATATAAAATACGGAAACAAGTCCCAAACATCGAGGTGTCACTAAGTCATGCGCGTCTAAAACTATGAACTAAGATAAATAAATAGTCTAACTGCCCAAAGAAGAAATGACAGAAGGAGTAACAAGGTCATGCGGACACTAGCAGCTACCTTGCAATCTCCACATATAGCCGGTCTGAACTCAATGATCGTTGCGCTCTAACTCACCTGGATCTGCACATAAAGTACAGGGTGTAGTATGAGTACAACCACCTCAGTAGTAACATAAATAACTAAGGAACTGAGCAGTAATGACGAGCTAAGTAAAACAGTCCAATTATTTATTTTCACAATTTAAAAAAATAAACAGAATTAAACAGGTAAATTTCATAACTCAGTAAATGCCACAAAAAAATTTAACAGGTAAATGCAGCAACAACAAAAGTCAACTACACAGCAATGTCACTCCATCACTCAGCACTCAACACTCAATACACTCAACACTCTGCGCTCACTGGGGGTGTGTACAGGCTCCAGAGGGGCTCTCAAAGCCCAAACGCTAAGCACGGACAACTCACGTGCCATCATATCAATACCTGGATCCGCACGGTCAACTCACGCGCGGCGCGGACAACTCACGCGCTATGGTATCAATACCTGAACCCGCACGGTCAACTTACGTGCTACGCGGACAACTCACACGCTATGGTATTAATATCATCACAATCAGGCCCTCGACCTTAATCAATCATGTACCTCACTAGCCTCACCATCATCAATAAATAAGAGGACACAACCCACATCAAGTATCACAGCATATTAGCAAATAATAGAGACTGAGGTAAACATGTACAATAATTTCTATGACTGAGAACAAATAATGTGAGCATGAATAAAGCCTAAGCATGATCTCTAACATGAAGGTAGACAAGTTCAACAACAAGTAACTACGTAAACACTGATGATGGCCATGAGGCCTTACGAGACGGACCAAGTCTCAATCCCTCGGGGTATACACCCACACATCCGTCACCTACCGTGGGTATCACCTCCAAAATCACATGATATCAAATTATAAACCCTCAAAGCCAGAGTTAAAGCTGTTACTTACCTCAACCGCATAAAATCATGCTCCAGGATGCCCTCGTCTCTGGACTCGGTCTCCAAAATATCTGAATCTAACCAAATTCATATTAATACCATCACCACGTGCTAAAAAATCGAATTCCACAATAAAAACTACAAAATATGCCAAAAATCCGAAATCGGCCAAAATCTGGCCCCAGGGCCCACGTCTCGGAATCAATAAAAAATGACAGAATCATAAACCTCGTCCTTTCTCGAGTCTAACCATATAAAATTTATCAAAATCGGACTCGTTTAGTCCCTCAAATCCCTACCTAAAGCTCTCCAAAACTCAAGCCCTAACTCCCTCAATTTCACTTTGAAATCATCAATCAAATCCCAAAAACGAAGATGGATTCATGAAATATAACCAAAACCGAGTACAAAACACTTACCCCAATTCATATGGTGAAAATCGCCTCCAAAATCGCCCAAATCCGAGCTCCCCAACTCAAAATATGATTGAATGAACAAACCCTTATGTTATATATTTTTCTGCCAGCTATTCTACCTCGTTTCTCGTGCCAAACGATCCCAAAACTCGTATTTTATGCCTCCAATGGATTCCTTGTAAAATTCTAGTCAAGTTAGACTTTTGAATTACTCAATTTAACCTTATAATGAAGGAGATATGTTAGTTTTAATATTTGCAAATAGTGCAAATTTTTAAATATGTTGTCAATGACAATTTCGTAATTAATCTGAAAAAATCTGGCAACCTAATTCTTAGTAAAATGACCATAAAATCCTCATACGATGTCCAAATTCGATGAATCTTTTTGCTACGGGTTCATAATTACGAAACAGATCTAATGCTTCAATCAAAAAAGAAATCGGAGCTCATTTATTCAATATGATATCATTTATGTTTGAAGAAACGACGTCGAAACACAAGAAAAACGAGCGCAACACAACCCAAACCTATCCGAAACTCACCCGAGGCTCATGGGACCTCAACCACTAATTCCAACAAGTCATATATCACTACCCGAACTTAGTCAAACTTCCGTAACACCCAAAACAACACCAAAATACCAAATCAACCTCGAATTCAAGCCTAAGAATTTCTAAACTTCCAACTTTCGCCAATTCAAGCCTAATTCTACCACGGACCTCCAAATTATATTTCGGACACACTCCTAAATCTAAAATCACCCAACGAAGCTAATCGAATCATAAAAATCCAAATCCGAATTCGTTTACTCATAAGTCAACTTTCGATTGATTTTTCTAACTTAGCTTTCTACTAAGAGACTAAGTATTCATTTCACTTCAAAACTACTTTGAACCCAAATCTACCAACTCGATACAACTCAACACAGCTGAACAATACATAAAGAAGCATAGATGGGGGAAATAGGGCTATAACTCTCAAAACGACAGGCCGGGTCGTTACATCCTCCCCCTCTTAAACAAACGTTCGTCCCCGAACGAGTCTAGAAACATACCTGGAGTCTCAAATAGGTGAAATCTTCACTAATACCTTCTCGTCACATTCAAATCATATGAACTCATCTCGCGGTTACATCATACTCATCACGTATCCATCCAGCCACCATTGTTACTAATAGGGACACTACCGGACATATAAATCCACAAGCACGAGCTCACACAATCAATACCTCAGTGCTCAATCTACAGTTAGAACCTGGCCTCAAGTCCTCCAGACTGGCCCAACATCAACACACAAAAATCACATCTCGTACCTCCTCTAGGGAATCACAATCCGTCGATGCACAGCTGATACCGAGCGCTCATGTGCGCATATGAATGCGTGGAAGGAATTCAAAGAGTTAGACTTCAAGTTGAATCAATACAGCACGATAAAAATTCAAGAAGGTGAAGTTTTCTAAAAGTTCTGCAGCCTCTCAAAGATAAGTACAGACGTCTCCGTACCGATCCGCAAGACTCTACTAAACCCGCTCATGACTTGTGAGACTATGTAACCTAGGCTATGATACCAACTTGTCACGACCCAGAATCTAACCATG